ATAGTGAATATTTCTTACAGGAAACAGTAAGTTTCAAACCAAACACTTCTATTTCTTTTTTTTTTTTTTTTTTTTTTTGATTAGAATATTGCTTCTTAACTGTTTAATGAAATTGATTGGACACCTGCCTCCTTGTTTGCGTCGTCTCCTTCTTTGCAGAAATTCTAAGAGAGGGGCAAAGCTAGATATAACTTGGACGGATGAAAAAACAGTTTTTACGTTTCTTTATATAGAGTCATTGTGCATACAAGTCAGTAATGATTAAACACTTATTTTGTTGTATTTATTTTTTACTATTATTTCACAGGGTGATCTACCCCCAGAATTGATAACAGGTAATGAGCTTATCAAGCAAGAAAAGCCGACTCGCTGTCAAAAAATCATTAAAAAAGCTTCCTCCGAAAGTCGCTGAAAAAAAAAATTTAATTAATTTTTCTCAGTTGTTTAATTAAAATTAATATAGCATGGATTTCGCACTCGGCACTTGAATAGTCTCAAATGAGAAACTTGTCCTCCCTTTGAACGAGAATTGGTTCCAAACCAAATTTGTTCCTAAATGTTAGTGGCTTCACGTTTTTCAAGTTTGTTCACATCGTAACCCAGCTCTGTTCTCGCAATCCGAGTCATTTTCAGTTGTTACATGGACTGCCGTTATTATTAGTAAGCACTGTTCTGCAAAATCTAGGTTCTGATATGGGCTGTTTCCTTCCATCTAAAGAATAATTTGATCTTCATCACATGAGTATGAGAACCATTTTTATTTGTGTATCGTAGAGTTTCGTGAGGCGTTTTCTTTGTTCGATCGTGACGACGATGGAACAATCACAACAGATGAGCTGGGGACAGTGATGGAGAACCTGGGATTGAATTCCACCAGGGAAGAACTTGATGACATGATTAGGGAAGTGGATGAGGACGGTGAGTGTCTGAAGGGTCTTCAAATATAATGAAGGAAATTATGACATCTGCCACAATGGGGTGAAATGCTGTTAGCCCATCATATGCTGTCAGCCAGCATATTGGACACGTGAACTACAGTGTATAGAAAAGTACGGTACAGTGTGCCTGAGGGGGGACGCCCATATGAAAAGATCCGGGATACTCATCGTCTCGCTTAGGGTATAAGTCAAGGATTCTGGTCTCGCTTAGGGTGTTCATGACGAAACACCACTATTTTAGCTGTCAAAGTATCTTTTAGGATGCACTCGAAGAAATAACAATAATTATTATATGGCAAGCTCCGCGAGCGGGCAAGATGAATCAAATCCTGCGCTGTGATTGGCTACCCGAGCGGGCAAGATGGGGCTATCTTNTTTATGGACCTCGACTCCGTCTCGGTCCATAAACTCGCAAAAAAAAGAACTTGGCCAATATCCAGCCATCTTGACCCCACACTTGGTCAATAACCCATATATACGCTCTTAATTCTGTTTTTAGGCTCGATTTCCTCTGGTCTCTCGAGTCCGGTCTACTAGCGCGGGCTCCTTTCCCGAACAGCGGCTGGTAATCGAGCCTGTTTCGTTTTAAGTGATATCTTTTAGGGGTCAAATAAAGCTTGAACCACGCCCAGACTGGTCTCCTTTAGAGGTTTAATTCAAATATTCCGACAAGCATCCCGACCTTTTCATATCCCCCCCCCCCCCCCCCCCCCCCCCCCCCCCCCCCCCCCCCCCCCCCCCCCCCCCCCCCCCCCCCCCNACTTAGCATATAGCACAAAAGCTTACAAAGTATTGATAACTAAAATATCTTGCTGTATTTTTTAGGAGCGACCACTTTGCCACCAACAACTACTCAAATGCCAACAACATCAGGTACAATTCCTAGGCACACAGTGCATGGTGGAGAAAGGAAATCTTGAGAATGTACAGGAGAAAACGTAAAGCTCAGGGGCGGATCTAGGGGGAGGGCGCAGGGGGTGCACCACCACCCACCCCCTCCCCCGAGATGAAGCCTTCTTCGTATTCGTTTTTAATTTATTTTTACCTCACCAGTCAGTTACGCCATTCCATAGTGGTGCACCTCCTAAGAAATATCCTGGATCCGCCCCTGAGGTAGTCCAGTTTCTGACTGGACTAGCCCTGAGGATAAGTGAACGGCTGTATTACAAATTGATAAATTAACATAGCTCTTAAACGGTCTAATTCAAACGAGTTATTAAGTCCGGCGAGTTACGTGCAACAAAACTTAGAAATAAAAAACCGCAATTGACCAAAGGACGCAATTTTTGTTCTTTTCCTTTCACAGGAAGTGGTGCGGTGGATTTTGAAGAATTCTGTGTGCTTATGGAGAGGAAACTTGCACAGGAAACCCAGTCGGAAATCCTAGACTTGTTTAGAGTCTGGGACTTGTCCGGTGAAGGAATAATCGAATCAGGGGAACTACGATGCTTGTTGAACAGAATCCCTGAGCGACTGACGAGAAAAGAGATTGATTTACTGGTTAAACAGGCGGACACCAAGAAAAATGGCAAAATCAATTTTGAAGGTGAGGTTTTGTTTTCTTGTTCAATGGCACTTCATAGGTTGTCGACAGTAAAGTTTGTATTTTATTGACTCTATTTCCATTTTAGTATCACCCAACTAGTGGACTAATGCAAATCCTGCATTTTGATTGGCTACGCTACTAGAGGACTATAAGTAATAGTCCTCGAGTAGCGAAATTGGCCCAATCGAACTTGACGCTTTCTTTCGTTTTATTCCCAAAGAAATATTTCTTCAACTCACATTTGTTAACTTTATTATTGCCTTTTCTGTCCGACTAGTTGGGTGATACTAAAACAATTAGACCCTCCGCCCTCAAGGGCCACGGGTCTATAGCCCATTCGGTTTCGCCTCACGGGCTATTGACCCGTAGTCCTTGCAGGCTGCGGGTCTAATTGTTAAATATTCATCTTGCTTTATAGCATCATCACATTCTGAGATTTTTGACTTTTAACTGAACTTGTAATAATTTCAAAATAATATTTCCCTACAATGAACTACAGGGTTCCAACCGAAAAGCTCCAGTCGCTAGCTTACTTGAGCAGTAGAAAATTTACTTTATAGCGAGTGAAAACGGGGTGTATAATAGCCCTTTACGCGGTTAACTTTTTTTCGTGTGCAACGAAAACGTGGTTTCATCATGGATGCGAGGCACTTTCGGGCAGAAGCTGCAAAACCGCCTCGTTGTAAACATGCAGGATTATATCATAAAGCAAATGAGAAAAGTTAACTGCATAAATGCTCTTTAGATTTGTGGTGATCGTTTCGGACTCTCGTCTTAATCAGTTCCTTTGAGTCCTCAAAAGTAACATTGCTATAAGGAATCGATTCGTGTGGAAAGACAAAGCAAATTATCATTAAATAAGAAAATTGCATCATGGATTAACTTTATATTCTTTATGTCTCATTTGCTGCAGAATTCGTCAAGATGATGTCTTCAGCATAGGGAAGTGTGCATCCCGAGCTGATTCACTGATTCACAAAAAAACTTGGACAAACAGTTCACTGAACTGATTAACTGAATGAAAATAAATTTACATAGTAATTAGTCCTGACATAATAACGCCCCCTCCAAAGATTGTCGCAGCCTCGATTGATCCAGCTCCTTTTTTTAAGAAAATGTTGCAAATACTGATAGTCTTGAACACCTCCAACGAACTCCCCGTTAATATTTGCCTTAAAAAAAATGCCCTCTATCAGAGCAAGTAAATAAGTGATCCACCCTACCATAAATAAAGAAATATATGTCAGCTACGGGATTTGGTACGTCTATACTCTTAAAACTGAAACTAAAAGAAATTGCATGCAATTCTTATTTTAATCTTAGAACTAAATGATTCAATTGTTTTGTGTACTTTCCTCCTCCTTGAACATAAAAGCATTCCTAACCAAGTCATATTGTCTGCCGTTAACATTGTGACCAATGTCATGGGTCGATAGCAAGTAACAGCTATTTTAGATTGGTTTGGTGCGGCAATAGAACAGGTGATTCAGTATGTCTTCATACAGTAATTAAATCATTATATAGCAGAAAAGTACAGAAAAAGACTGAAAGAAGTTTGGAAAACGGACATGAACAAATTCGGCGCTTCAGGTATATTGTAGAAAACATTATCACACCTCATTCGAGCTAACAAAACTCAGTCACAATGAAAACTTAGTGCATCGTTTCCACCCCCCCCCNCCCCGCCCCATACTCCCCCGCCCCATTCTCCCCCTCCACGGCCCCGTCCCTTAATCAGCCCACTCTCTCCTCATCATCATGATTAAATTTTAAAAGTGTTTATTGGCAGCTAGACTGTTCACAGTCCCCTCAATTTTCCGTGGGATCGTAGATGTCGATCGTTGAGTTCGACGGGCCGTCATCTTGGTTTCTTGATGCGAGCGAAACTGGGGAGAGTACAAAATGCCCTTGGGTAGGGGTGGGGGAGGGCACGGTGGGCACGGTGGTCGGCGCCCCTTCACCCCAACGCTATTAACCCCACCGCCTCTACCCACGGGCATTTTGTACTCTCCCCAGTTTCGCTCGGATCAAGAGACCAAGATGACTCAACGATCGACATCTACGATCTCATGGAAAAATAGGGGACTGTGAACAGTCTAATTGGCAGCCTAAACCAGGATTATGGATTTTATCTATGAAATACCTGTTCAAAGACAAAGGTTTCGAGTCAATTAAAAACCAATGTGTCAGCATTACAATCCGGAACTGGTCGCCTCATTGCGTTGCGGGTACAAGAAAGATGAAAAAAGATGCGACGATTTTTGCTCAAAACCTGTAACCATTCATAACATTGTTATTTAATTACTCTTCAAACGTATTCATAAAATGTTACAGGGAGATTGGAAATGTTCCTTTGATTTCGACAATCCACAGAAACAGAGACAGGTCTTCGAAAAGTTGTTTACAAGCCACGCTTGAACTGCAATTCCAATGCCGATAGATATCACGTCGACAGAGTCATTAGCAACACCTTACACTCCTTTGAATGGCTGTTTGGCTTTTTGTTCGTAAATTCTTTGCATTATGCTAGTTGTACACTCATTGTGACCTCAGATAAAGTCGGCGCAAAGTTTCCCTGGTGCGACTAACTAATTCCAAGACAAATTGCTATTGAAGCCTTTTTCTAACGGGTCAATCATATTTCTCCCCCTGCTGGTACTTATCTCACCGTTACTGACTGAAATAACAGCGTGATACCCCTCTTTTGTTTAGTACCCGGTTAATAAGGTGGCTCTTGGGTCACATTTCTTTGCTGAAGTAAGCGACTGTTTTCCGTGCGTATTTCAAACATTATTTTCCTCTCGTGCGTTCGTTACCCTCTAACAGCCATTTATCTGCGCATTGCTGCGGTCTGATAAGTAACCTGTTTCATGGTAAGTCGTTTTATATGCAATATTGTGTTTTATGTGGTTAAGGGGACTTGGGAGAAATATGAGTTCATGACTGAGTAATGTCTACATGCGTCATTGAATAAGTGCATTCTCGGAAGTAATATTTTGCATCACCAAACGTTATTAAGTTCCATTCATAACATGATCGACCTGTATTTGGAAGGTCTGATGGTACAACTTCAAAGATATATAAGGGCGCAACTCGCAACGATTGTGTAATTAGTTCACAGAACAAAATGTAACACTTTGTGGTCTATAATGGCGGGTGAAAATTCTGTTTCATTCTTAAACATATTTGCCAGCGGCGGTGTAACAATCAACATCACATTAGCAATCTAACTGCAACATTAAAGTGAATTGTTGAGTAGAAAAGACTTAAACTAAAAGAAAAAAACGCTGTCTTGCCGACATACTGAGAGTAAAACGTGAACAGTTATTACGGAATTACGTCAGGGAAGTAATTTCATACACCTGGTTGATTTTCTTATGCACGTCTGCCTTGATGAGATCTTTATCATTTTGTTAGATGTTCTGTTGGTAGATCGCCCATTACCTTTATACCGGCTAAAAGTCGACCCTAGTGATCATGTAACGCAGGCAACGTCAATGGTTTACCTTTACCCTTAACTCACCTTGCTTTTTGAAGATCGTAGACAAACATATTCGAAACGATCTTACGCCGCAATCAGTGTCAGCTTCTGTGACCTCGGAACGTGCGAGAGAGTAAAGCTGGTGTTACGTAAGAAATATGAAACATTTTTGGCCCTGTTTCTGTCGAATTTTAGAATTAATCTACTATTAGAAATGCTATTCTCTGATTGGCTACGCTATCCACTATCTATTCTGTGATAGATAGTGAATAGCGTAGCAGTGGGCCCTTGTTAACAAAATGACGGCCACTTCTTGGCGTTTTCGAAGTGTCTGTGAAGAGGATTTGGATAAAGTTTTGAACAACTAGTAGATTTGTACTAAAACAATTAGATTATTCGCTCTCGATTTCTATGCGTGATCAGTAGTTGACGAGGGCGATAGAAATTTCGAGCTCATAATCTAATTGTTTAATGGTTGTAGGTCTTATAGCGTCCTCGTCCCCATAGCCCTTTTCGCTTCTGTTAGCGAAAAGGGCTATGGGCACGAGAATGTAGTTAAAGAAAAAGGAGTGAAATTTTACGAGGAAAGAACGACAAATACTGGGAGGAACAAGAGCAGCAGTCGAATGTCGAGTTCTCCCGGCCCAGGCTTACACGAGTACTACCTTTAAACGTTAACGTTGCACCAGGTTTCGGAGCAGAGCACAGTATCTAAGTCCCTGAGTTATGCAATTTGTCTGGTGTGACATTTGAGATCGGTTTGAGAGAAAAGTTGCCAGCAAAATTTGTCTGATGTGACACTCTAGGCAAAACCTGGTTCACACTTGTGAGATAAGCATGACACAAGTGAAATAAGCACAAACATAAGCACATGAAAAAGAAACATGTTCCTTTTTTCTTGTGCTTGCGCTTATGCTTATTTCGCTTGTGTTATGCTTATCTCACAAGTGTGAACCAGGCTTTAAGACTATCAGCCCGGCAATCAGCACTTTATGCTTATGTCAACGATGTCCTCACTGAACATAAGCATAAGCATAAGAAGAAAGCTTATGCTTATGCTTATGTCGCGGCTCTCCTCACTAGTGCACGAGCTTCTCACAGGTTATGTTTATGCTTATGCTTGCGTCTCAAGTGAGGACCGGCCTTAAATTCCACTGTTTATTCCGTCCACTCAACAGTAGACAGAACAAGTAACACCAGTGTCGTAATGTTCTTTTCCAGGAATTAACGTTAACTGAAGGACAAATAGCAGGTGAGGAAATACAAGCCTAGGCCAACAGTCAACTGAATTTTCGTTCAAAATCTTTATTTAAGAATAGATGAGAGCCATAAGTGTGATATTCTTAAAACATAATCGCCACTTTTTCCTGTCAAGATTCTTCAAGATGGACTACGGTGAATTTTTCAATTTGTCCTGTCAAAATGCATGTGCCTTCAGTACATAGTGACGTCATGTTAGGTGATCTAAATGAGAACTAACTTGAAAACCAATTTGCAGGTACATTAGTAAAACTGCAAAATTATGCTTGGAGCATTTCAACAGATTAGATATAGAATATCTAGAAAGTAGGAACGTTTCCAATAGGCTCTTTGCACGATCCGGTCACATGGTACGGAATAAATTATGCTGGGACGCAAGTTACACAGTGGGACTTCCAAAACAAAGGAACTCGTACCAGTCCAGCCCGACTTTCCTTTGTTTTAGAAGTCCCACTGCGTAACTTGCGTCCCAGCATAATTTATTCCGTACCATGTGACCGGATCGTGCAAATGGCCTATTTAGGAATATACATACAAACTCCATTCAGAAACCTTTCTACAATGGGAGATTTAGTTATAAAATTTCCCAGTTTCTCAATGTCCAGCCTAATGCGATGGATGGGTGTGTATTTTAACTAGAATCCGACATGCACATTTCAAATCCATTTCCCTGGGCATTTTTGTCCACCTGTGGCTCATTATCATCGTCGCGATCTCATCGGCAAGGCGCCGTGACGTAATGGCAAGAGTTGTGGGTTCTAGCCCTGACCATTTTGTTTGTGCTGTGTTCTTCGCTCTTTCACTACAACAGTTTCTCTACAAGCCAGCTCACCTATTCTGTATATTGGCGTTGTATTAATGTTATATTAACTCTCGGGTTCCACGCATCTCGATCTAATTAAAGCCAAAACTCACGATTTTTATAGCCTACTATACTAAATGCGAAGACCTACACAGTGGAACAGACCGGTCCACAAAGATGGAACAAAAGTCTATCTATGAACGAAGGTTCCTGGAAAAAACATTCGCCTCCCTCAAATGCTCGAATCCCTCAAATTCCATCCACCACATTGTGGTTACCAAAAAAAGAGTTAAGTCGCTATGGTATTAAACCAGATGATTATTAAATTTATTAAATCCATTTTGAAATCACTGGTTATCCTTGCAATCTGATTGGCTCTCAATGGTGCGATTTATTCACGAATCACACTATTTTTTGCTCTAAATCGCATCTTTTTCTCAGCCAATGAGAATGGGCCAGTAAAACATAACAACCCATCAGATTTCAAGATTAGTTTAAAGTTATCAATAAAATTTCAGGAAAATGAAAGGCAAAAAGCCACTGTGTGGAGAATTTTGCAAATACTATTGCCAAAACTTTGTTGTTATTGTAGCCTTTTTTCCAAAAAAATTGACAAATTTAATTAATTAGTTTCTGAATGACGATTATGAGCTCCTTTAGGTNGCAGATCTGAATCGGCAGCAACAGATTTATAAATTTATTAAATCCATTTTGAAATCACTGGTTATCCTTGCAATCTGATTGGCTCTCAATGGTGCGATTTATTCACGAATCGCACTATTTATTGCTCTAAATCGCATCTTTTTCTCATCCGATGAGAATGGGCCAGTAAAACATAACAACCCATTAGATTTCAAGATGAGTTTAAAGTAATCAATAAAATTTCAGGAAAATGAAAGGCAAAAAGCCACTGTGTGGAGAATATTGCAAATACTATTGCCAAAACTTTGTTGTTATTGTAGCTTTTTCTCCAAAAAAATTGACAAATTTAATTAATTAGTTTCTGAATGACGATTATGAGCTCCTTTAGGCTGAAGACCTACTTTAATGGAAGTTCCCAACTTTCAGTGTCCGTTTTGACGAATATTTTGGCGATTTTTCTTCAACATCTGCTCAAGATCCGTATGATACTGAGTCCAGTACAACATAAACAAACGAAAACCACACAACAACAAATTCAGAGTCATCTCAAGAAGGTAGATGTTTCCGGTAGTTTCAAACGATGCAACAAAACAGCTCACAACTCTGTTGCTGTGAATAATCATAGTCAACATACGCCACACTGCACAAAATACTGAATGAACGAACGTCTTACGAAGCCGGTGCCAGTCCCGCCATCTTGGAAATATCTTAAAACAAATGGCGCTGCCAGAACTTGACAAGGTCCTGAGTAT